GCCAAAATTCTGGGAGGAGAATGGAAGAGAAAGGATTGTGGTCTGGCCAACCCAACTGGGGGGAGATTTCTCACTTTCCCTCTCTGTCATTGTCTAATCTAATATTATCTTTTAATATTTAATAATATTATATCTATTATCTTTTATCTTTGAACATATTCATTTAGTGAAACTACAAGTAAATGAACGAGCAAGTTGGCATCTTGACATTTTTACCATGTCAACTAATTTTGCCCTATGAAAGACAATAAGTTAAACAAATGATATGATTTTTTTCTCTTTCTCTTTTTCTTTTCTTTTCTTTTTCTTTTTCTTTCTTTCTTTTTTTTTTTTTAAAGAGATTTTTGCTATATGGTGCATGCACTTGCCAGAAATACAGAGACAGAAAGCAAGAAATCACTCCCCAGGAGGGATGGCTATGCCGCAATCCCTTCTCCTCCATACTTCTCTCGAGATCTTGGACACACACATACATGCACCTGGTGTGAGTTTAAGCCACCGGGCCAGGACTCAAACCATGATCGACTATATGGGAGTCTAGTGAAGTAACCATTATGCCATCTGCTGGTCCCCAATTGATGTAATTTAATATGAGTATTTTTTTCCCATTGTTTTTTCAAAATTGAGATAATTAAACAGAAAACATGATATAAATAACATACTGAGGTTATCAGAGAAGTCATGATGTATTTTTTTTTGCTATGGTTTTCTCTGCAAAAATGTGTCATAGTTTTTTCAACAAACCAATATATGTGGGGGCCAGAAAGTGGTGTGTTATTTGAGGTACTGGACTTCTATGTAGCCAACCATGGTTTGGATCCTGGACCCAGTGACTTGAAACTCACACCAGTCACGTGTGCATGCATGCCCAAAATCCCAAGAAGAGAATGAAGGAAAAGGGATTGCAGTGTGGCCATTTCCTCGGACGTGATTTCTTGCTTTCTGTCTCTGGCAATGTATGCACCCTATTGGAAAAATCTCTAAAACACAAACAAACAAAACTTATGTGTATACCTCACCGTAAGTATTTTTGTTATTTGCCAAGAAATTTCTGCAGTTAATCCTGGCAAAAATAATTATTCAAGTAATTATTTCTTTTTTCCTTTTTCTTTTCTTTTTTTTGGAAGAGATATTTGCTATAGGGTGCATGTGCTTGCCAGAACAACAAAGAGAAATAGAGAGACAGCCAGAAATCACCCCCTCTGGGGCGGATGGGCATTCCGCAGTCGCTTTTCCTCCATTCTCCTCTCGGGATCTTGGGCACGCATGCACATGCACCAGACTTTAGTTTCAAGCTGCTAGGTCTGGGACTCAAACTACTGTCGACCATGTGGGAGTCCAGCAATATAATTATTACGCCATCTCCTGGTCCCAAATCATTGTTTCTTAACTCCATGCAAAGTTAGTAAAGCCTTTAGCATCATTTCCTTAGAGAGCCCCTGTTTGAAAAGGCATTACAACTTTTTAATCCCTCAGTGATTTTCAAGATGTTTATTCTTTTCTGTTTTGCCATGTTTTACTTATTTCACAAATTCATATTGAAGGTTTATTCTCTATTGGGTATTCTAATAGAAAACATAGAATTAACCTGAGAGATACTCTCTCTTCACTCACTGAGCTTACAGGTTAGTGAGGACAGCGAGGGAATTTAATAAATAGCTGCAAAGGGGAGTCTCAGTAACAGATGCTATTGGGAATGTATGAGAGAGAAGTAACTGAGTCAGGGGATCCTTGCCTGAGGAAGTAATATGTGAAGTGAGATATCAAGAATGTGTTCAGGGTAATGTGCAACGGAGCAGGCTTATTCTGAGGTTTAGGACAGAAGGAACCTATTGGGAAGTCCTTGGGATAGCTAAGCGAGTGAGGGTGGACAAAACAAGAGCTGATGAATCTGGCCCTTCCAGGCGACATTAAATGCTGACAAGCATTAAAAGCTTACTTTTGTGAGGTTTGGAATGGCTGTGGCCTTGTGTTGCGGTGTTTAGGTCTGGTGAAGGATTCCAGAGATATCAGCTAAGGTGACAGCAGTGATGATGATGAGAACAAGGTGGTTTTGGAGGTAGGATTGACAAAATTCAATTGATTACACCTAGGATGAGAGGAACACTCTATCTTCCTGCCTGAGCTCTACTGGTTGCTTGGTGCCACTCATGGAGGGCAACAACGGGAGTACAGACTTGGGTGGAAGATATCAGCTCAGCTTTGCTCATGTGATTGAGATGCTGGTGGAGTTGTCACCTCCACAGACATATGTGTGAAGCATTGGGCTTCAGAGAGAGAATAGAACGAGGGTAGTGGATTTAGATGCTCAGTTAGCGTGTATTGATAGAGCAATTATATGTCTCATTACAGAAATTTCTGGGTTTGAAGATAGTAAAAGAGAAGCCTGTTGAAGCTGAAGGTCTAGATATGGAGGAGGACAAAGAAGGATCAGGAAGAATCAACAGTGTTGAATGTTGCTGAGAGGTCAGGTGCACCAAAGGCTTGGAATTGCCCCTTAGATTCTGTAACATGTAGGACACTGATGACCCTAGAAAGAACAAGTTTCATATTGTGGTGGATGGGAGTCCTTCTCACCTCCATTTAAAATCTTGAGTCTCTATGTTCTATTTTTCATTAATTAATTATTATTTTTTGAGTTTGCTACAAGACACATGTGTTCACCAGAGAGATACAAAAAGAGAGGGAAAGTGAGAAAGCAGCTTCCAGGTCTAGGACTCAAACTATGGTCAGCCATTTGGGATTCCAGTGCCTTAATTACCATGCCACCTGCTGGGCTCCCCATATTTTATTTTAGAAGACTTTGTATTTCGATTATCTTAATGCTTTAGAACATGTGTGCCTTTCCAGGATCATAACCAGGTGCATGTAAGCAGCTGTGTTGCTGCTTTACTGTATTTAACTCTCCTAATGTGTCCCTTAGGCTTCTTCTCTCTGTAAGTTTCATTAATCTGGCATCTAATTCTCTTAGTGTCTGAGCACCTCTTGGTCCCAGTGAATACCCACATCTTTGTATACACATTGAAAACAAACAGCATTTTGTTGTAATTTTGTTCACTTTCTCTCTTGAAAGTGTGTTAAATTACTATAAAAAGACTTAAAATGGAGAAGTTTTTACAAAATGAATGACCAAATTTCTGTTTTTCAACATCTGGATTTTTTTCTTTGTGTGTGCACATGCACACTTTAACAAAACCAGTTATTCCAGAGGTCTCTGGAATTTGTTTTTGTGGTGCTGAGTAGTTATCTCTGTGAGCTAATTTATAATGTACTCAAATAAATATACACAGTGTAAGTTTTACTGCTCTGAACTCAGTAGTCATCTAGGAAGTTTCATACATAGATTTTAACAGATACATGATACCCTAGAACATTTCTGGTTGTATATAGTTTCTTTTTTTTTTAAACTAATTTAAGTTATATAATAGATGAATTCCTCCCAGTTTTTTCTATATTGTTCTCAGAAAAAAGAAAGCGATAAAGTTTGACATACCATTATTAATAGTAGATCAGTTACAGGGATTCCTTATAAAGCTAGGCAAAGCTGTCAAACTTAGGGCACATCATCTTATTAGACATGATAAGGAGATTTTATTTACACAGCTTGGAGGGAAAAACCTTTGAATACCTTGTAACTATTTAAAAAATATATTACTGTAGAAAATTGGGGGATAAGCTTGGAGTCAGATATTAAAACACTACTTAGGTATTTACTAAAAGTTTCTAGTTCACTAGTAGGTAATATGCTACTGTCTAGTCCTGCTTTTCCTAGATTTTTTCATGGGAGAAATTGTGAAGAAATAGTGAGAAATAACTGATACTGTCTATGTGTACCAATGAGAGTTAACCTCAGCGTAGAGTAGTATATACTTTCTTCAGGTACACAAAAGGAAAGCATTTGTGGGGCCAGCAGGTGGTATGGAGGTTAAGGTAGCTGGATCCCACATGGCCAACTGCGTGGTTTGAGTCCCAGCCGTGATGGCTTGAAAAACCATGCCAGGTATGTGTGCGTATGTGTTCAAACTCCTGAGAGGAGAATGGGGGAGAAGGTATTGTGGTGTTTCTGCCTTTTCTGAGGATTTCTCGCTCTGGCTCTGGCTCTTGCACATACACGTGCCCTATGGAAAACTAATAATATTAAAAATAATAATACAAAATTTTTAAAAGGAAAACATTTCTTGGCACTGTTTTCTTGTTCTGGACAGGTGACCAGAACAATTTTTCCAACACCATTTACCCTCAAAGGCTCATATAATACTTTGGTGAAAAGACTGTCTTAAAACTCGCTTCTTCCTTATCTTTCCATCAGAAATAAGCCTGCCAATGTCTCTTCTTCAGCCATCCTGTGTTCACGAGTAGATATGCAGAGTACGAGGGAATGTAGTTGTTACCAGTTCTTTCTGCTGTAGAATTCTGGCCCATAGCTCTCCAGGCTCCCAGGTTCTCCATGTTAGAGCTCTCCACAAGCCGTGGACATTGAAAATGATACCAGGACCATGGTGGCTTTTTCTGGGAGACAAATACCCAGAACATTTAGGGGTATCACTTACCTTCTCTCTTTTCTTTTTCTTTTCTCTTCTTTTTTTTGGGAGAGGTTTTTGCTATAGGGCGTGTGCGCTCGCCAGACAGACAGAGACATATAGCCCGAAAGCGAGAAATCACCCCCCAGAGGGGATCGTCACGCCGCAATCCCTTCTCCACTCTCCTCTCGGGATCTTGGGCACGCACGCACACGCACCCAGCGTGAGTTCTAAGCCAACGGGTCCAGGATGCGAACCGTGGTCGACGACGTGGGAGTCCAGCGACATAGCCATTACGCTAACTGCTGGTTCCCTTCTTTTCTCTTCTTGAACTTCATAGAAATAGTCTTTTATGTGATTCCTGGTGGTTTTAATTTTATTGTATAATGAAACATTATAACTTCTGGGACTATTTTGATGAATGGTAAAAACTCTGGTTATGTAAATTGATAATTGTGTGATATTTTCTTTTCCCTCTAGGAATGCTGTCTCTGCAATTTGAGAGGGGGTGCTCTTAAACAAACTAAGAACAATAAGTAAGTAATGCATTAATTGTTTCTAATTCATTATGTTTCTTTCTCCTTTCCGGACTATCCTGATGAGTTTGCTTTGTCTCTCCCTGTATACATTCTTCCAAAGTCTTTGCAGTCCAGGTTTGAGGTTAGAATTCTGTGCTTGAGAGACCACTACCGGCAGCACTCTGACCTCTGCCGGGGAAGGGTGTTTCAGTTCTATGTCTAACACCAGGAGAATTGCCAGCGGCAGTTTGTTGTTGTTGTTATTTATTTATTTATTTGTTTATTTTTAATACCAACAGATTTTTTTAAATGAAGGTGGCTTTCCTGGTCTAGGTGTCATTATGTTCATGTTTACTATGATGAATACTTAGTCTAATAAAGATAGGTTGCGGTGTTTAGGTCTGGTGAAGGATTCCAGAGATATCAGCTAAGGTGACAGCAGTGATGATGATGAGAACAAGGTGGTTTTGGAGGTAGGATTGACAAAATTCAATTGATTACACCTAGGATGAGAGGAACACTCTATCTTCCTGCCTGAGCTCTACTGGTTGCTTGGTGCCACTCATGGAGGGCAACAACGGGAGTACAGACTTGGGTGGAAGATATCAGCTCAGCTTTGCTCATGTGATTGAGATGCTGGTGGAGTTGTCACCTCCACAGACATATGTGTGAAGCATTGGGCTTCAGAGAGAGAATAGAACGAGGGTAGTGGATTTAGATGCTCAGTTAGCGTGTATTGATAGAGCAATTATATGTCTCATTACAGAAATTTCTGGGTTTGAAGATAGTAAAAGAGAAGCCTGTTGAAGCTGAAGGTCTAGATATGGAGGAGGACAAAGAAGGATCAGGAAGAATCAACAGTGTTGAATGTTGCTGAGAGGTCAGGTGCACCAAAGGCTTGGAATTGCCCCTTAGATTCTGTAACATGTAGGACACTGATGACCCTAGAAAGAACAAGTTTCATATTGTGGTGGATGGGAGTCCTTCTCACCTCCATTTAAAATCTTGAGTCTCTATGTTCTATTTTTCATTAATTAATTATTATTTTTTGAGTTTGCTACAAGACACATGTGTTCACCAGAGAGATACAAAAAGAGAGGGAAAGTGAGAAAGCAGCTTCCAGGTCTAGGACTCAAACTATGGTCAGCCATTTGGGAGTCCAGTGCCTTAATTACCATGCCACCTGCTGGGCTCCCCATATTTTATTTTAGAAGACTTTGTATTTCGATTATCTTAATGCTTTAGAACATGTGTGCCTTTCCAGGATCATAACCAGGTGCATGTAAGCAGCTGTGTTGCTGCTTTACTGTATTTAACTCTCCTAATGTGTCCCTTAGGCTTCTTCTCTCTGTAAGTTTCATTAATCTGGCATCTAATTCTCTTAGTGTCTGAGCACCTCTTGGTCCCAGTTCTGCTCTGCTGTGCTCCCAGTGAATACCCACATCTTTGTATACACATTGAAAACAAACAGCATTTTGTTGTAATTTTGTTCACTTTCTCTCTTGAAAGTGTGTTAAATTACTATAAAAAGACTTAAAATGGAGAAGTTTTTACAAAATGAATGACCAAATTTCTGTTTTTCAACATCTGGATTTTTTTCTTTGTGTGTGCACATGCACACTTTAACAAAACCAGTTATTCCAGAGGTCTCTGGAATTTGTTTTTGTGGTGCTGAGTAGTTATCTCTGTGAGCTAATTTATAATGTACTCAAATAAATATACACAGTGTAAGTTTTACTGCTCTGAACTCAGTAGTCATCTAGGAAGTTTCATACATAGATTTTAACAGATACATGATACCCTAGAACATTTCTGGTTGTATATAGTTTCTTTTTTTTTTAAACTAATTTAAGTTATATAATAGATGAATTCCTCCCAGTTTTTTCTATATTGTTCTCAGAAAAAAGAAAGCGATAAAGTTTGACATACCATTATTAATAGTAGATCAGTTACAGGGATTCCTTATAAAGCTAGGCAAAGCTGTCAAACTTAGGGCACATCATCTTATTAGACATGATAAGGAGATTTTATTTACACAGCTTGGAGGGAAAAACCTTTGAATACCTTGTAACTATTTAAAAAATACATTAATGTAGAAAATTGGGGAATAAGCTTGGAGTCAGATATTAAAACACTACTTAGGTATTTACTAAAAGTTTCTAGTTCACTAGTAGGTAATATGCTACTGTCTAGTCCTGCTTTTCCTAGATTTTTTCATGGGAGAAATTGTGAAGAAATAGTGAGAAATAACTGATACTGTCTATGTGTACCAATGAGAGTTAACCTCAGCGTAGAGTAGTATATACTTTCTTCAGGTACACAAGAGGAAAGCATTTATGGGGCCAGCAGGTGGTATGGAGGTTAAGGTAGCTGGATCCCACATGGCCAACTGCGTGGTTTGAGTCCCAGCCGTGATGGCTTGAAAAACCATGCCAGGTATGTGTGCGTATGTGTTCAAACTCCTGAGAGGAGAATGGGGGAGAAGGTATTGTGGTGTTTCTGCCTTTTCTGAGGATTTCTCGCTCTGGCTCTGGCTCTTGCACATACACGTGCCCTATGGAAAACTAATAATATTAAAAATAATAATACAAAATTTTTAAAAGGAAAACATTTCTTGGCACTGTTTTCTTGTTCTGGACAGGTGACCAGAACAATTTTTCCAACACCATTTACCCTCAAAGGCTCATATAATACTTTGATGAAAAGATTGTCTTAAAACTCGCTTCTTCCTTATCTTTCCATCAGAAATAAGCCTGCCAATGTCTCTTCTTCAGCCATCCTGTGTTCACGAGTAGATATGCAGAGTACGAGGGAATGTAGTTGTTACCAGTTCTTTCTGCTGTAGAATTCTGGCCCATAGCTCTCCAGGCTCCCAGGTTCTCCATGTTAGAGCTCTCCACAAGCCGTGGACATTGAAAATGATACCAGGACCATGGTGGCTTTTTCTGGGAGACAAATACCCAGAACATTTAGGGGTATCACTTACCTTCTCTCTTTTCTTTTTCTTTTCTCTTCTTTTTTTTGGGAGAGGTTTTTGCTATAGGGCGTGTGCGCTCGCCAGACAGACAGAGACATATAGCCCGAAAGCGAGAAATCACCCCCCAGAGGGGATCGTCACGCCGCAATCCCTTCTCCACTCTCCTCTCGGGATCTTGGGCACGCACGCACACGCACCCAGCGTGAGTTCTAAGCCAACGGGTCCAGGATGCGAACCGTGGTCGACGACGTGGGAGTCCAGCGACATAGCCATTACGCTAACTGCTGGTTCCCTTCTTTTCTCTTCTTGAACTTCATAGAAATAGTCTTTTATGTGATTCCTGGTGGTTTTAATTTTATTGTATAATGAAACATTATAACTTCTGGGACTATTTTGATGAATGGTAAAAACTCTGGTTATGTAAATTGATAATTGTGTGATATTTTCTTTTCCCTCTAGGAATGCTGTCTCTGCAATTTGAGAGGGGGTGCTCTTAAACAAACTAAGAACAATAAGTAAGTAATGCATTAATTGTTTCTAATTCATTATGTTTCTTTCTCCTTTCCGGACTATCCTGATGAGTTTGCTTTGTCTCTCCCTGTATACATTCTTCCAAAGTCTTTGCAGTCCAGGTTTGAGGTTAGAATTCTGTGCTTGAGAGACCACTACCGGCAGCACTCTGACCTCTGCCGGGGAAGGGTGTTTCAGTTCTATGTCTAACACCAGGAGAATTGCCAGCGGCAGTTTGTTGTTGTTGTTATTTATTTATTTATTTGTTTATTTTTAATACCAACAGATTTTTTTAAATGAAGGTGGCTTTCCTGGTCTAGGTGTCATTATGTTCATGTTTACTATGATGAATACTTAGTCTAATAAAGATAGCGTGCCTGAAAATAGTGACTTGGTTATTTTCAGATAAATTAGTCACAGCATTAAAACAAAACCATTTACTTTTAGTGTTTGCAAATTAACAAGAATGTATGTGTACTAAATTAGAAAAGATGGGGAAAAAAACCTTGATATTAAGATTTAAAGAGGACAGGTGGGGATGTAAAGAGTGTCTTGAAAGCAGAGTTGTAAGTGAATATAAAAGGGTGGTAATTTGGTTTTTATGGCTATTTTGCATTAATTTTATTTTTATTTTCATCACCAGGTTTTACTGTTTAAAATGGGGCCAAAGCATATTACAGAGTCCACTGAAATAGAGACATGTACAAATGGTTTAGGCAGAGGTTCAAGCTGGCACTGGAGAGCTTGCAGCCAACATATATTTTGTTTGAATCATGCACATTTTATAAATTTGATCTAAAGTTTAAAAATTGAGTAGATTTTATATAAAAATCGAGATTTTCACCTTTCCTTGAGAAATGATTGTATATCTCGATAAAGCAGTAATAAGTGGGATGAGACCCCGTTCTTGGTTGGGCAGATCCTTCCCAGGTCATGATAGCTTCCCAGTCTACATGACTGTATTTGCTTACATTCTGCCTGGCCCCCTGGGCACTAGGGCTGGGACTCTTGGTATAGGGTAATGGAATCGGCATAGTCATGTTCATAAGCACATGTTTCTGACTGTTTATAAGTAAGAATACAGGCATTTATCATTCCTACATTCATAAAGTTTACTCTAAGAAACTAGCTTTTACTTAATTTTGGATCATCTTTCCCAATCCTAGTGAACATGATTGGCACTATGCTAAAGTCTTTACTAGTTCCTGGATATTACATAGGCCATACAGACTGTGAAATGATTTAGATGACTCCTGTAGAAAAAAAAGGTGATAAGAAGTTGTCGTCCTACCTTGGGCTAAAATAAAAAGAAATAGTTTTTCTCATAGGACGATAATATTTATTTAGATATGGAAGAATGCCCCGGGGGCATTCTTCCTGTGGTCTTGAAAGACAGGATGAGTCTGATGTTATTTGAGTGAAATAAATATGCTTTGGCTTAAAAACAGGTTGATAGATTTGGTAATTCTTTCTAGATCTCTTCAAATCTCTTGAATCTTTATTTTCGGATATAACACTTAGGAGACACTTAATAGTGTTAGTGAGGAAGTTGTCATTACTTCTGAAGGAATTCAGAATGTGAAAGGAAATACTAGGCTTTAAAAAGGAAACCGGAGAAAAGGTATATGTCATTTCTCTGTGTCTAGTTTCCTTCTATTATAGTAGGATTGCAGTGAGAAACAATTTTATTAAGGAATTAATCAGTTTTAATTCTTTTAGAAAACTTTTGCTACTTGAACTAGTTTATTTCATGATATTTATGTTATATGAAAAGATTATATGCTAAATCCAGATTATATGTTTTATTAATTGAACTAATCTTTCGACAAATTGATTAGTCTCGGTACGCTAAGCATGCACCTACTTTGACATCAAATGAAATAGGAAACTGCATGTCGGCATTTGACAGATCGAGTTTAGAAAAACATATGTACATTAATAGGATTGAGTCCTTGTTCCTTACCTGGGTCTTTATTCAGTTTGGGCAGGTGTTGTACTGGGTCTATTCAGGTATCGGCTAAAAAGTTTAAAATTCAGAACCTGTTTGAGATGAATTTAGGATTTTGACTTTCTTCCTCATCTATGTTTCTCATCTGTGAGAACTATGATCACCAGGTTGAAGTACGAAGGTGTGTGAGTTTAGGGATCTTTTGTTTATGTTTAATGTCTCCTTTCCTGTAGGTGGGCCCATGTCATGTGTGCCGTCGCGGTCCCAGAAGTTCGATTCACTAATGTCCCAGAAAGGACAGAAATAGATGTAGGCAAAATACCTTTACAGAGGTTAAAATTGGTGAGTGCCAATGCTTCTTTTTTACCTCATAAATTAGTGTTAATTTCTAGTTCTGAATTTTTTTTTTAGTGATACACACATTCCTATGATATATTTTCTCCCAGTTTCATTGTATTATTCTACACTTACTTTCCTTTAGCCTAAATTTATTTCTTAAAGAATCTTTGCTTGTTTAAATGTAAATGGACTTATAACTTCCCTCAAATTCTGACTGAAATGAAGAAGACGATAAATACATTTCTTGGATTAATGTGAACTTTCAAACTATGGTATATCTTGTGAGATTTCTCAGGAATGAACTTGAGCCTTCCAATTCTATTTAAATTGTTTAGTTGTTTTTTTTTTTTTTTTGTCTCTTCTCTTTGGCTGATCTTGACTTACCAAGATGTATCTAATCTAATTTCCTCATCTCTTCACCAAGAAAAGACTTACAAAGAAATACTGAAGCATTCATTATTACCGAGGGATTTTTCTCACTCGTGATTTAGGTACAAGTCACTTAATATGCCAATACACTGGCTGATTAACTTCTGACTTATTCAGAAACTTTCATAATAATTGTCTCACTGTTTTTCCTGTAAAGAGTATTTTTTTTTTATTGAAAAGAAAGGCCTTTTATGTGTTTAAAACTGAAGCAATTTTGTAGTTCTGTTCAGCTGTGAGCAGCTAGATCATTAGGTTAGGCCTTTATAATGCCTATGAGAACTTTTCTTAAAGTTAAACTGCATGACCCTAACATAGTGGAACATGTCTTACAGTAGATGTACTACTCTAGAGTTTTCTTCACGCCTTTTTATCTTAAGATCTTCCCACTGGACATTTTGGCCACAGTTACTATTGCTTTCTCTTCCTGACCATTGACTTGTTTTCATACAACTCTTGACCAAGGTGGAACTGGGTTTCCTGTCTTTGATTCTGTTTCTTAGGAACTCAGAATTTAGTCTACTGTCTCTTGGTCTCAGAGAAGTGACAGTGAATGCCATGTTTCCCACTACAGCTTTCTTATGAATTTCACTAGAGAATATGTGACTCTTACATGGGACTAATGATTGCTCTTGGCTGATTTGAACAGAGGACCTAGGATACTCCAGTTGTAGTAGTCAAAGTTTTGTGTACTAAAATAGAAATGAATGGACCCTTTAAATGGCCTTCTAAAGGTTACAGTGACTAGCAGAAGAGGTAAGAAGAATATCTGATTCTTCAGCTCCTAGAGTTCCATAGGAAAGCTTAGAATCTGATATCCTGATCACAAAAATAAAGAAGCATGAAAAACCCCTAAGTAACAGAAAAACATCCCCAAAAAACCAAACAATATATTTGGAAGAATTAAGACTAAAGACAGGAAGGATATCCAAGAAAATATCAAGTTAACCACACTAAAGACTTAAATGTATAGTGTGGCAAATATTAACAAATGTTTAACAGTTTCATTTTTTTCTGATTATAAAAATAATTTGTATTTGTAAAAATTGAAACCCATACCAGTCTTAAAGAACTTTTGAGAAAACAGTAGGGAAGTACAGAATGGGTTATTTCAGTACCATGCTAGGTGTTAGAGCTACATATCTGATGATCGTATCTGGACAGTGAAGCTTACTGTGTTCTTCACAGTAGGAAGCACTGTCCTTCATCCCATATTCCTTATGGGATATTTTCCATTCTTGCATGATTGTTACCTTTAAAAGACTATGTCTTGGCATTAGCAGTTAGTGTGGTGTTTAAGGAACTGGACTCCCATGTGTTTGGTGGATGACCATGGTTTGAGTCTCTGACCTGGTCGTGCTCTTTCTCTTTCTCTCTTTCTCTCTCTCTCTCTGTGTCTCTCTGGTGAGTGCATGTGTCCTGTAGCAAATTAAAAAAATAGTAATAATGATAAATAAAAAATGTTAAATAAGAATATGTCTTGACCCAATTTAAGATCACTTAAAGCCTATGCAAATGAAAAGACACAATTATACCCACATATGTGTGCAGAGGATGTGACATATTTGTGTGGAGAAAGCATGCTATCGATCAGATATTTTCCTATTTTTTAACTTTGTGTATGTGTGTGTGTGCACATGCAGGTGGTGTTTTGTGTAGTTTTGTGTTTTTTTTTCCTTTGTGTGTGCATGTGGTGTTTTTTGTGTGTATTTTTGTAAGACAGGATCTCCCTGTTGTTATTTTCCTGCCTCAACCTCCTGAAAACCTGAAACTGTAGAAGTGTGCTACTTCACCTGGCTTTTGGGGTGGATTGGGAATCAAATTTGGGTTTCTGTGAGACCTCAGCTTGCTACACACCAGTGTCTTGAGTGTCCTCCTGCTGCTAGGTCTATTTTTTAGTGTATTTTGTATACATGAAAATATTTTTAGAATGATATTCATCAAAATGCTCCCACTGGTTATTTTAGTCTGATAATATGAGTAAAAACTTGGGACCAGCTGTTGACATAATGGCTGTGTTACTACACTCCCATGTAGTCAACTGAGGTTTGAGTCCTGGACCCAGTGGCTTAAACTCACACTGGACGTATGTGCATGTGTGCCCAAGATGCCGATAGGAGAATGGAGGAGAAGGGATGACGGCGTGGCCATCCCCCGGGAGATGATTTCTCACTTTCTGTCTCTCTGCTCTCTCTGTCTTTCTGGCAAGCATATGCGCCCTATAGCAAACCTTTATTTTTCTCTATTTCCCCTTAAGTCATTTATTAATTTTTAGACATTTTTGCCTTAGGGCACATGTGCTCTGAGAGACAGACAGACAGACAGACAGAGAGTAATGACAACAATCTAGTTGACTTTTTCATCAAGAATCCCCAAGAAAGAACCATCACCTTAGTGAGTCTATTTCATTGCAACATCTATACCTGACTTCCAGTGTTCTGTGGTGATTAGACTCAGAGTTGTCAAGCTTTCAATAACAAAATTTACAAATGAGCACTTGTGCATGGGGTGGAGTGTACTCTGCAGGAAGTAGGATGTAGGATCATCCTCTATTTGTTCTTTACTTTCCTGACTTTAGCATTTTTTTTTTCTTTTTAGTTTTGCTTTAGGGCATGTACTCTTATAAGAGAAAAAACAGAGAGAGGGAATGGGTGAAATCATCCCCCTGATGGGTTTGCTGGGCTGCAGTCCCTTTTCCTCCATTCTCCTCTTGGAATGTTAGGCATGCACACACATGTGCCCAGTATGTTTCTCAAGATCCCGAGTGCAGGACTCAGACCATGTAATTTGCCACATGAGATCCAGCTGCTTAAACCACCACACACTACCTGGCTGACCCTGACATTAGCATTCTTTTATTTTTAAAATTTCTTTATTTTAAATTTCATTTATTTATTATTGTGATTTTGTAATTCGCCAGAGGTGAGGGAAGGGCAGCGAGGTGGGGAGAGAGAGAAGGGGAAAGGGAGAGAGCAAGCGAGAGCGAGCGAGCCAGTCAACAGGTCCAGAACTCAAACCACAGTGGGCCATGTGGTTGTTCATTGCCTTAACCACCATGCCACATACTGGCCCAGCCACTAGCATTCTTTTCATGTTTAAATGCTAATCTAATATGTATCTGGCCAACAAGAAACCAGAGCAGTGGTTTTGTGTGCTACTATATCCTAGTTGAAGTAAGTTCAGGCAATTTCTTATAGTCCCTCTTTAGTAAAAACAAGAAAAAAAAATATACACACACACACAAACATATGTATGTATCTGCTTGTGTCAATTTCAATCTTTCCTGAAATTGAAAGCATTCTTTTTAGGACACTAGGCTTTCCCCACTTTCCTATTCATAAAGATGGGGAAAAAATTAAGTTGTCAGAGTCAACTTATTTCTCCAAACAAGTGTTACCATCTTCTAAAACAACGTGCCTTTTTTTTTTTTTTTTTAAATCAAAACATGGTTTCTGTCTTGTAGCATCTTCTGGTCTAGGTTGGGATTTCTAAGCCTTGGCACTATTGATATTATAGACCAGGTTATTCTTTGTTCTGGGAGGTTGGTCATGCACATTGTAGGATTCTGGTATTCTGACCAGACAGACATTGCCAAATATCTGCCAGGAGACAAAATCACCTCCTTTGTGAACTTGCTGCTCTACAGAGAAGCAATATACATAAAGAGAAAATTTTAACTTTTGTCATTTTTATATGGAGAATATCTTGGTTGAAAAAAAAGAATTGAAGGCTAACAAAATTAAAAATTCTTAAATGTATTTTTTTAAATTATAGAAAATTTTTTGGCAAATTATTTGAATTTCTTATTTTTTAATAAATAATACTTTATAATATATGCATATTGGCTGCTGAATAATTATTAGTTATATAATTCGATTTAGTATTTTAACTCTGCCTACTCTTATAGAAATTGAGCATCCAAACAGAATGCCAATCATGCTTCACTGAAGATTAAAACTGTGTGATATGTGTGATATGCGTACATATGTGACATAATATACAAGTAGTAGCCACTCAGTACATATTTATGAAATTAACTCTGACTACTCTTATAGAAATTGAGCATCCAAACAGAATGCCAATCATGCTTCACTGAAGATTAAAACTGTGTGATATGTGTGATATGCGTACATATGTGACATAATATACAAGTAGTAGCCACTCAGTACATATTTATGAAATTAACAAAAGGCAGCAAAGCATTATGTATTATTCGTGCCTCTTACTGAAAATGATTGCGTATGGCAGGGTTTGATCTGGGAATAATAGATGGCTTGTGCCTTTTCACAATTTTTCCTATAAAAGTAAAGGTAATAAATGTAAATATGAATGAACACACACCTATGTTTGCCGCAAAGCTTTACTTTACTCGTTGGCACAATAGAGGGGCATGCAGTTAGGTCATAAAATATAGCAGTACTTCAGAGAGTCTGCGAAAACCTGTGGCTGCCTCATCTTGCTGGTATGCATTCTGATCTTGGGATCTTTGGGGGCTTGAAGACTGAGTGGGTAAGTTCTTTGTCCCCGAAGCAGTAAGGGTGACTGACTCTCCACTTCCCACTAGATGGTGCTGCTGC